TTTTTTTTTGTTAAAAAATTTAAATGTGCCCTGGCTGGTATGCCCAATGATTAGTGTCGTTGGCCCTCACACCTAAAGTTTGCAGGTTCGATTCCTGGTCAAGGCCATGTACCTGGGCTGCAGGTTTGATTCCTGGCCTCAGGCTCCAGTCTGGGCACATTCTTGGGGGCAACCAATCTATGTCTCTCACATTGATGTCTCTCTCCCCCCTCACCCCTTCCTCACTAAAAAAAAAATAAAAAAAATCAATGGGAAAATACATTCTAATGTGAGGATTAACCAAAATAATAATAATAAACAAATAAAAATGCTACATATAAAGGAGAAACAGAGTGGGGGAAGAAGGGAGAGGTTCCTGGGTCCCTGGTTGGGGAGAACCCAACTGCCCCGGCTGGGACACCTAGCAAAGCCCTGTGAGCTGCCCAGTTCCTGGGCCCCCAGTGAGAGGCAGTTAACTCCCAGACCCATGGCTGTAAGGAGTCTGCCCCAGGCACACACCTGCCTGATCATCTTGGCTACTTTCTGTTGGAGGGTCCCATTCCTCAAACAGGACATAGAAGGCTACGGGATCCAGGTCATCCATCCCAGAGAATGCCCCACCACCCACGCTGGCATGACTCTGGGGGTGGGGCACAGGGGTCAGCCCACTGCACATCTGGTTTCAACCTTGGCCAGGGGAATAGGCAGCCCACGGTGGTCAGACCTCAGGGGTTCCTAGGACACCAGAGGTCTCTACATCACAACAGCCACCATCACAATAGACCAGGGGCAGAGCTGCTGGAAAAAGGAGCTACTAGCCGGGAGTCCAGCAGACTCAGAAAGGACCGCTCCATTTCTCCAGCGGAAATGGCAGGTAACAGGAGAGATCAAGGCAGACAGAACTAAGGGACTCCACAGATACTGCTTCCATCCAGGCGGCTTCCTCCCCAATCTACTCACCCTCAACGTACAGTTGTGATAGCTCCCCATCTTCTCACACCCCTAGGCTTCCTCTGGGCCTAAGCAGCCAGCTTCCCACCCCCTTCTCCTGATCTTAACCCTTATCCCCCTAGTCCAGTGGTGGGCAAAACTGTGACTTGTGAGCCACATGCGGCTCTTTGGCCCCTTGAGTGTGGCTCTTCCACAAAATACGGACTTCTGTGCATGGGCCACAAAGTGTCAATCGCACTGTATGTGCACGCCCACTAGTGGTATTTTGTGGAAGAGCCACACTGAAGGGGCCAAAGAGCCGCAGTTTGCCCACCACTACCCTAGTCTATCCTTTTTTTCCCCCCTTTTTTGAGAGGAAAGGAAAGAGAAACATCAATTTATTCTTTCACTTATTTATGCCTTCATTGGCTGGTTGTTATTATGTGCCCCGACAGGAGATCGAACCCACAACCTTGGAGTATTGGGACGATGCTCTAGCCAACTGAGCTACCCCGCCAGGGCCTGTCTGTTTTTATCAATAAGCATGAATTATTCTTCTGGGGGAAGGAGGCATTCTTCCACTCATTCATTCAGCATTTATGAGCACTGCTGTTTGCTGGACATCGTTCCAGGTACCAGCAGGGCATGATGAAACAAAAGCGCTGCACAGTGGAAAAGCATGTTCTAAACAAGATATTTAGTATCTTAAACAAGATACTCAGTATCTGAAAAAAAATAAACAGAAAAAGGGGTGGGTAAACAATTTTCTTGGTGTGTGTGTGTGTGTGTGTGTGTCCGCGCAATTTCAAGTGGTGTGGTTAGAGAACTTATTAGGAAAGAAAGACGGAGGAAGCGCATTCTTGCAAATGCAACTGCTCTTGTGGGGGAAGGAGTGGGGGGGCTGGAGCACAGAGAGCTGGGAGAAAGGAGGGAAGAAATGAGGAAAGAAAAGGAACAAAGGCCCAAGTCACAAAGGTCATGGGAAAAACGGTGGCTTCTATTCTGCGTGGCGAGGAGAGCCACCGACGGTTCCTAGCAGAGGAGAGGGGTGACCTGCCATGACCACTCTTACCCGCGTGGCATTTAGAAAGTGCGCCGACCGCGGTCTGAAACGGAATAAGAATTAGCCCGAAACTCCCCCACCTCTGGCAGTTCTGGGAGGGAACAATTTGAGGCTAGAAAAATGGAGGTGAGGCCTCCAAAGGTAGTAATAGGCGCACAGAACTAACTTATCAGCTGGGGAGGAGCCCACGCTTCAGTCTAGTGCACACACACCGACCCAACAGGCCAGGAACCCCAAGCACAGAGGGGTGCGTTCACTTGTGCAAAGTCTGCAAAGCAGCAAAGACAAACAGTAAACACACGCACAGCCTCCCTGTTCTCGGGAGGGCGGCACACACTTTCTGATGCACAGCCATCCGCGAGGCG